TGGGTTTGTCTCAAGCCCCGATCTGGGTTTGAGACACAAACCCAGATTTGGGTTTGTCTCAAGCCCCGATCTGGGTTTGAGACACATCCCAGATTTGGGTTTGTTTCAAGCCCACCCTTTAGCCCCCTTCAATCGCCTAGCAGAATTCGTAAAAATCACCAAGACATGAGGGAAGAGGCGATGTACGACGAGATGCTGCGAATGATGGGGGATACCGAGCGAGGTACCGACTGCACCAGCGTGTCCTCCGCCTCCGAAGAAGAAGCCGTTTTTGTTCAAGAAGAAGAGGGAGCCACCGAAGGACAGACATTTCCAGCCACCTGATCTGGAGTTGTTCTTCTCGATCAACCAGGTTCCTTGCAACATTGCCAGCAACATCAATACCGAATTCGGTGCCTAAGGACGCCTGGGGACGCCTGGGTTCGGCATCGGTGGATGATGGGTATTTTAGAAGGAATTATTCAACCCTTGCTGCAGCTGTAGCAACAGTAGAGAGTGAAGAGGAAGAAGTAGGTGAATGCGAGGGAGAGGAAAGTGATCAAGGTGAAGGGGAAGAAAAGGAGGGTATAGATCTGGTTTTGTTCTTTTGCTTATTTTGTGTTTTCTATGTGTATTTTTGGAGTTGATTAAGTGGTTTTCGTGTTGATTATTTTCGAGATTAGATCTGCAGTCGGCTTGTATGTGAATGTGATTTGGCTCGAATTGCCTTTTTTTCTAGAAATTCTTTACTCTTTTTAATCTATGTTCCTTTCTGTTAGTTGGCTTAGGAGATCTCGGCTTTTCTGTTTAGTATATTCGAGATTAGTTTCCATGTTATGTGATGAAACCCAGATCTGGGTTTGAGAAAAACCCAGATTTGAGTTTGAGAAAAACCCAGATTTGGGTTTGAAAGAGGAAGAAGAAAGGAGAAGAGAGAGAGAGAGAAAGAATAAGAAGAAGAAGGAAGAAGGATGAGCAAGGAAAGGAAAGGAGGAAGAAGATGAAGTTTGCGAGAGAACCCAGATCTGGGTTTGCAGAGCCAAGGGCAAAGGAAAGGTAAAAGAGAGAGAAAGTGAAAGAGGAAGAAGAGATGACGTGGATTGGAAAAAAAGGATATCAAAATTTTTAAATTAAATAAAAATGCCACCTCATAAAAAAAAATGGCCAACTGTGTTTTTTTTTTCCATGTCATTAGTCAAGCAAAAAAAGAATTGATTTTGTGGCATTTTAACGTGCCACCTGTCATTTAACTGACGGAAGGACCATTTTGGTACTAAAAATGAAAGTTTAAGGTTAATTTTGGTACTTTTTAAAGGTGAGGGACAATTTTGGTACCAAAGTGAAAAGTTGAGGGACCAAAATGGTACTTAAACCTTATTTTTATTAAGTAAAAATAATTTGCATCATTTTTTACCGAAGCTCATCTTTTCCGCTTCTCCCCCACAAATTGAAACCCTACCTTCCTTATTGTTGCCGAATCTCCTTCCTCACCAAAGCCATGGCCATCGGATCCTTGCATTTTGGATCTAACAAATCATGAATTGTCGATCTTCATCATCTTCTCTCCTTCATTGTTGCTGAACCCATTCCTCACCAAAGCCCATGGCCGTCGGACCACTTGCATGCCGGATCTAACAAACCATCGCAGCCCTTTTTTTTTCTTGATCATTGCTTTGTTGTTTTTTTTTTCTTTTTTTTTTTTTCTGTTCTTTCTTTGTGTTGATGGTGATTTCTGGTTGCAGACATTGATAGAAAAGACCAATCCAAACCCAAGTGAAATTGAAGACAATGTTGTGGGTACAGTGTTAGGTATCTTAATTTAATTGATATATTTATAGCTTAACATTTCGAGAGAAATCATCCTACAATTTTTCTTGGATTTGGCATTTTAGATCTACATTTCATACTTCTTTTCATTTTGTATTGGAAAAATGAAAATGGCTCTTAGCGTGTCCTTCAAATTTAGGTATATTATTTTTTTATACAAATTAATTATAGAAAAATATAATTAATACATAAATTAATGAATCTTTAATAAATCTAATTCCATAGATTAGTTTGTTGACCTCTCCCTTTCTGGAATCTTATATTGGGTTGTTTGGTAGTTTATCATTCATCACATGTTTGACTCCACTTGAAGCAACTATTTCTGATGGGTTGAGAACGAAGGTTTTTTTTTTTTTTTTTGGTCATTTTCCCACATCAATTTTCAATTTTGGCTTGTAAAGATACTTGCTTGGTTGTAGAATTGGAGTGGGGTTTCTTTTCCTTTCCTCCTCCTAAAATGGGATTTTGGGTCTTTAGTTTGTTAACTAAGAAAGATTTGGGTTTGTTGTGGATTTCAAAAAGGAGGAGATTGGGGTTGTTTGTGTTTAGGCTCCTGCTTGGGTTATGGTTGTCTCTTGTGCTTTTAAAGCCCGTTTTGGGATTGCAACAAATCAGAGAGAGGGCTTAGACATGAGGTTATGGTTTTTTTTTTTTTTTATCCCTCCCCTGAGTGGAAGTAGTAGTAGGAAAAACAAAAAGGATTTGAGTTCTATTAATACCAAAAGAAAGTACACATTTAGTTCTATTGTCATTGTGGCATTAAAATCTATTTTTTCACATGTTCTTTTGCTGTTTCATAACAAGTAGATTCAATGTTTTCTGAACAAAGTTTGATTTTTGAGTCATGAATATGGTTGAACCTAACGTTATGTCTTTTCTCTTTCTATCAATGCATCTTGCTGCGGCTATTTGTTAGAAAAGATGGGAAGGAGTTAGGTCCTCTTTCTGCATTGAACATAACAGGCACATATCAAGGTCTGTAACTCATTTTCTTGAATTTAGTCATCCTTAAATTACTGCCATCCATTATAGACATGCACTTCCTAGATTATAAATATATTGGGTAAACTTTAGGCAAGCAAAATTTTGGGTGAGCTGAATAGATTATAAAGTCAATCATCCAGTTAGTCAACTATTGATAAATTGAGATATCTTTACTACTTGATCTTCTAGGACTTTTCTGCAGTTGGTGTGGATCCTGCCATCATGGGTGTTGGCCTAGCTATTGCAATTCCAACTGCAATTAAAGCTGTTGGGCTTGAACTTGATGATATTGATGTTTTTGAGATAAATGAGGTAATATCTATTACATCATTGTGCTTGATTAACCAGTTTGTTTTAAATGAGTGTTGACATTTGAGTTCTCAAACTTCATTGTTCCCTACAGGCATTTGCATCTCAGTTTGTGTATTGCCACAAGAAGTTGGATCTTGATCCAGAAAAAATCAATGTCAATAGAGGTGCAATGGCAATTGGGCATCCTTTGGGTGCAATAGGTACTTTTTTATGCTACAAATTTAAATAATGTATTTCATTGTTTGTTTCCACTGAAATTATTTAGCCAAATGGAAAGAGGACATGGTTTTCTCTGAATCATTCCAATGGGGTTGAGGTGATTGAATCTACACATAACTAGTTCTACAAATCTTGCTATAATTGTACAAATAGTGTTGAGCAGGACTTTGGAATATGGTATTGCAGAAAATGTGACAAGGGATGGTCAAATCCTAGATTGAGGTTTGTGATTTGAAATTCATAGAATTTTTTTTTCAAAAACGTAGAAAAAATTAAATTTTGAAGAAGTTATGGTTTTAATTATTTGATACTAATTTCATTATTTTTTTTTTGTTATGAAGGTACTACATTCGAGTTCATGTAGTTGATGGAACTGATGTTGTATCTTTCATTCTTTGTGATTCTGCTGCGAAGGGATTTCTTAATATTTCTGCTTCTAATTTACGTGACCTACACTTCAAAAGGGTAATTTTCTGTCACCTTCAATATTTATTTTTGTGTGATTAATATTTTATATGATGTTTTTGATAATGTAATTAATTTTAATTATATAAGAGTGGCGATCCAAAAACTTATCCTGTTGAGCTTGATGCTTTGAAGAACAAGAAAATGATTTTTAGGTTGAGTATCAAACATAATAATATTAACAATTTTGAAGAAAGTGTCTAAAATGTTAAGAAGATTTTCTTTGATAAAAAGATCATTGATAGCTTTTTACAAACAACTGGACAGGTTTGTTTACGTATATTTATTAAAATTTTATTCTTAAATTAAGTTTAAATTTTTAAACATTTTTGTTTATAACTTAATAATGTAGGAATCTTCTGAAATTTAAAACTTTTCCTTCCAAGGCCTGTATTCAACCATGGTCAATTGTATGTTGCACTTTAAGAGTAAAAAGGAAGCATGGATGTTCAAGGGAATGTCTCAAAACAGACAACTAATATTGTTTTTAAAGAAGTATTTCACAGATTGCATTAGGTAAATTCTTTTGTAATCATTTTTTTTTCGTTGCTTTGGTTCAATATTTTGAAAATTAGTTATCTTTGCATTTTCTCTTACTGTTCCATTCTATAGCCATAATTTCTATTGTTGCCTTCCTATCTCTTTATTTTTTTTTCTTTTATTTGATGAACCCATACTATCTCTCTCATAATCAATTGAAACATATGCTTAGGTTCTAGGTGTTGTTTTCACTCAAGGACCAATTTTAGCTGTCCTAATTCTTCTGGAATCTAAGGGTGAGACTTATGTTGTTTTTATTGAACAGGTAAAGTTACTTTTTATTGTTCTTATCTATTATGTCATGCTTGAATTCTTTGGCATATGATCTAACATATTACAAATGAGTAGAGGGTTGAATTGTTGACCTATTTTCTGTTGCTACTCACCCATATCTGATTAGATTTCATTTTTGTCTAAGGCTAGAGTCCCAATTGGGTAGGTTGTTCTAGAATTGCCTGTTGGAATGTTGGATGATGACCAAGGTGATTTTGTTGGCATGGTAGTTTGTGAGGTTTCTTTCTCTCTATCTAATGCTTTTAGAGAAACACACTAAATAGATTCATACTTCAATGCATAGATAAACACTTCTTAATTTGCACCATTAGCTATATTTTTATATTATTGGCATAAAAAAAAAAAAACTGAGTTCAAAAAGTTTTCTTGATATATTTATAAGGAATCATTAAATAAGGAGACAGAATTAGGAGGTTCAGATTTTGGTGGATACCCTACCTTGAAGCAGCATGATGATTCGTATGATTCCTATTTATTACTCAATTGTACGTTTCACATCCTAAACAAACAATCAGAAGATTTAACTGTGAAGACCAATAATAATAACTAATGTATTTATTTTGAGAGAAATTAATTTTAATGAAGAACAAACTGATTTATTATAACAAGCTATCCAAGAGCGACAATATATCTAATCGACAATACTGCAATAAAGGATCAACCCGCAAAACTATCAATCAATTATATTCTAACAAATTACACATAAAAAGAGTATGACTAGTCTTATATGAAATTTTATGAATATAATTTTTAGGGTTTTCAAATATGAAAATAATTAATAATCTCTCAAAAATAAAATTAAACAATAAAATCTATGAAGGAATCAAAATAAATAATAAGTCAAACTCCTCAATCAAGATCCTTCCTAGTCTTGTTGAAAGTTTAGTTGCCCTTTGACATAATTCTCTAGCCTTTGAGAAGAAGAAAAATAGAAGCCTAGGAACTGTTTCTCTAGATGCTAAACCTAATTTTCAAAGCTCCTATTTATATTAGGAATAAAATAGGAGTGTTTGGTAACTAGGATAGCAACCCTAGGGAATTAATTTTATTTTTTCTTTCTTCCCACACAATTGGTCGGATAGGGGTTGGAACCTCAATCAGGGTGCGGAACCCTGCATAATTTTGTTTTTGTGCCACATTGACCAAGGGTTGGAACCTGCTTTAGGGTGGGGAACCCCTGATGTTTCTGGTTTCCGTCTGTGTTGGTGAAAGCATGCTTCACGAATTTTGCTCTTAATAAAAAAGGGGAAATCCAACTTGGGCCTTCAAACTTCCAAATTTACTCCTTGGATCCTCATCTTTCCAACTCTTTGCATTCAAGTCCTTTTCTTCTAATTCTCTCCATGTAATCATCAAACCTTCAATCACCAAAAGATTTGCACAACATAAATATAATGAACACTTATGAAATTACTTGTAAAAAATAAAACTCTTAAACCCATAATTCCACAAATGTTAATAATTAAGCACACTTTAACTGTACATTTTCTTTCTTTCATGACAACCCCCAACCAGCTTATTGCTAGTCTCTAGCAATTCAAGTGTGAATTAAGAAAGAAAGCATGCTGATTAGCTCAAATGGATATATAGCAAGACTACCTAGGTATTTAGAAAAAGATCACAATTGTTATCAAGATTACTTCAATTGTTATCAAGATTACTTCAATTGTAACTTCCAAAAGTGTATGTGTGTGAACTAAGCATAACCTTCGTACCACAAACCACAACATATATAGCCTTGAGAATTAATCAAAGTAAAAGCCTCAACTGCATATCCTCATAGGTTAATAACTGTTTAAGGCAAAGGATTTCTCTCATGGAGTTGGAAAGCAGCAAATCACTCAAAGGAGAAGGCAAAATTTAACAAACAATCAAACAAACAAACATTGATTAGAAGATAGGCTAGTTTGCTATTCAAAATTCCACTACTCTTTCTCCAAACTAATTTCAGGATTTCAATCAATCAAACATGACAACAATACAAGTAGAGCCTAGTGAGAAAAACTGTTCCCTCAAAAGCAAGTTTGTCTTCTAAATTGATGGAGGACTTTATTTGGTAGAATTTTTTTCTTCTTTTTCATTCTGCTTTTCTTTTCAACTTTTTTTTTTGTTCTTTTTTTTTTTTAATTTTCTAAAACAAAGGAGGGAAAGCATAGAATTTCTCACATGAACTATTCCAAAAGGTTTCACATTTCATAACAATAGCTCTCTTCCTCTCTTTTTTTTTTTTCTCTCTTTTTTTCTTTTTTTTTTTAAGCTAATCATTCAACCATTCCTCCAAATGAGTAGTGACATTCTAAATAGCAACTAACCAATTCAACTAAGCAATGAAAGTTCATAAGTTGTTTTCTCAACTCTCCACTCACTCACAAAAGATGTGTGAGTATAAAAAAAAAAGAACTTAAACCTGATCATTATCTTGGCTATACATATTAGACATCCATCTAACCCCAAAGCTCAGTATTGTGCGCAAAAAATTTCTAGAAGTTACTCTTTAATAATCAAGATAGAGAAAGTGACTTAAACCAAGTAAATTTGAAATCATACCTAGGTAGAAAAGCAGAAATAATCATGCTTTGCAAACCCTTTCATACAAGAATTACCAAAGTCTAAGGAATAAGCAAAAAAAAAAAAGAAAAAAAAAAAGAAAAAAATTGGTCCTTTTTTTTTCTTTCTTTCTTTCTTTCTTTTTCTTTTCTTTTCTTTTTTTTTTTTTGAAGAGAATGTATATAAAAAGTGTGCCTAAAATGTGCATGCAATGCAACCACCCACAACCTAAATGAGACAGTGTCCTCACTGGCATAGAAG